CTCCTCTCCTCCCCTCTGGGGTTGTGGCAAACGGAGCATGTTGGGCTGTCCCCGGGCTGGCTTCCCTCCACAGTGAGGCCCAACAACATGGCTGGCCTCCCATGGTCCTCCTGGGGGACGTCACTGAGGTACTGGCAGAGTCGAGGTCCCAGTGGAGCAGACTTGCTCTCTCCCCTCGCCCAAACCAGCGCCCTCCCCAGCCTACTCCTGTCCCCTCGCACTTCTCTGATTCTCCTCTTCTGGCTCCGGCTGGGGTGTCCCCAAGTGGGCCTGTTTCCCTCACTTCCTGGGTCACCACGCACATCCATGCTCCCACGCGGCCAGCCCCTGCCCCACGTTTGGAGGCAGCTCCCCACTGCGGTGTCTTCTGATGGAAGCTCCCACTAAGCAGAGCAGCTTAGTGGGTTCTCGTCTTCGTCTCCTGCCTGGGTCCGGGGCTCTCTGGAGCCGGGTGAAACCTCCGGAGTCTCTATTTCTTTATTTGCAAAACAAGGGTGATTTGTGCCTCGAGGCTTCTGGAAGAATTAAGTGGGGGCTGGGCTGGGGCTCAGAGGCAGAGCAAGTGGTGAAGTTCAGGATATATTAGCTGCTATTATGATTCTGACTGTGGTTATCTCAGCCCGGGCCCAAACATGCACAGATGAGCACCCACATAAGCACCTGGCATCAGCAGGGTGGACTGAGTGGGCTAGAAAGGCGCAGGGCTGGGGCAGCGCTCCGGGGACTCTGCACAGAGCCTGCCTCTCCCTGCCCGTCAGTCCTGCACACTTCGCTCAGGGTAGTATCCGTCTTTGCCTGGCAAGACAAGAAGTGGGATCCAGAGACATAGCCAAGAAGCCTTCAAAGTTTGCAGAAGTAGCATGTGACAGAGTCCAGATGGAGCCCTGGGGTATCCAGCCCCAGAACCCCTTCTCCTTTCGCCACCTACTGACGTCTGCGTGCTGGATGAGAGGAGGTCTCGGAGGAGTACCAGGGAGGTGAGTGCACTGCTGGAAAGGACTGGAGACTCCTGCCGGGCCTGTGGGCGGCCAGCGAGTGTGAACACCACGGAGGGGGGGAGCGGCCTCTGGTGGGACCCTGTCTCCTGAGCCCCCCGACTTCTCCTGGGGAGACGCACTGAGACATTTTCCAGGAATCTCGCCCCTCCTGGAGCTGAGGCAGCGGTTTGTGTTACGGCCTCTGCTGGGCTCAGGCACAGGTGAAGAGAGGGACAGGGGACCTGGGGAAAGGAGGGGCAGGAAGAGAGACAGGGAGGAGAGGGAGACAGCAAGACTCACAGGGCTGGCGAGTTCCGGCTCCATGACAGCTGGTGCACTCATGGTCCCCGTCTGGCCCTGGGGTCTCTCCCTCCCTGAGGACCCTCAAAAACCCCTCTTTGTGTCCTGAGTGCACCAGCCTGGAAGAAGAAGCAGTCCAGGCACAGGCTTTGAAAACTGTGATGTGCCACCAAATGCCTGGGATTGTGTTGACATGCGATTCCGAGTCCCAGGCCTGCGAGGGGCCTGAGGCTCTGCATTCCTGAGAGGGTCCACACTAAGTAGCGGGGCCCGGCACCCCGGGTCCCCTCAGGAATTCTGCTCTTTCATCTCCCCCCACCCTGTGCTTCTCTTCACAGATGACCAAAATGCCACGTGCATGAAGCCCACGGAGCTGCGAGGGTGGCCCATCTCGCAGGTGGGGAACCCGCTGCGCTACATGTGCCTCACCCACCTGGACCGCCGGGACTACATCTTCCTGCTGCTCATCGGCTTCTGCATCTTCGCTGCGGGCACCGTGGCCGCCTGGCTCACAGGCGTGTGTGCCGTGCTCTACCAGAATGCCCGCCGCAAGTCCAGCGAGGACGAGGCGGACGACGAGGCCGGGCACAAGGTGGAGGTCGGCCGGCGCATCTTCCAAACCAGCGTCACCTCGAGCCACACGGCGTTCCCTCACCTCATCTAGCTGCCGGGGACCCCCTCCCGCTGCGCCCAGGCTCCCTGACGCCCTCCGCCCCCTCTCTCTGCCGTGGAGCAGCCTCCGGGACTGAAGCTTTCTAGTAAAATAAATAGTTTGCTGGTCATTCCACAGTGGTCCCTTCCTGCGCTGCCAACCCCAGCCACCTCCCCGAGCTCAGCAGGCAGGGGGGAACAGCACAGAGAAACAGGGGCACGTGCCGGGGAAGCCCCCAGTCAGCGGGCCCATGTTCGGTGAGCACCCTCCACATCCCAGACCAACTTCCCAAACCAGCTTCAGCAAGGAGGGATACAAGAAGCACAAGATCTAGGCCCCTCCCCAAGAGCAAGCAGCTAGCGGGGTCAGGATGTCCCCAAGTGCCCAGCCCTGCACTCCAGCTCTCCGTCATCAAGGACCCTACAGTCTTAATACGCTTGAACAGTGAAAATCCCAGACTGGGCACCCCGTGGTGACCCCACTGGAAAGTAGCACGGCCCCCCAGAGACCCCTTCTCTCCTGTCGCAATCTGCCTCTCTGGGAAACATGGAGCAACAGGACCCAGAGGTCGTCACACAAGCTGTGGACAAAACCACAGTGTGGGCACACAGAGGTGGCCACCACTCGTCCACCCTTACCACACCCAGCACCGTGCCCAGCTTCAGACACATCCCTCTTCGGTGGCCAAGTTCGGTGGCCACGGCTTCCCTGGTGTCCCGAGGCTCAGAGGCTGGCCACCAGCTGGAAGCCACACAGGAAGCGGGCCAGGCTGGAGTTGGGTGGCCAAGGGAGCAGTGTGGACTCCAGCCTGGCCCAGCTCTCAGGGCAGCTCAAAGAAGGGCAGGGACAGAGGAGGGCAGGGCTGAGCCGGTCACACACCCAGAGCAGGTCTCTTTTTCTCTTACCTGATCAGTGGTTCTCATATCAAGCTCAGAGCGAAGTCCCCACCCATGGAGCCGGCTGTCCATGACCCCAGACCTGTTGTGTTGTCTGGTCTTGTGTGAGGTGCTGGGGATGGAACCCAGGGCCTCGTGCCGCTGGGCCACCTGCAGGCCGCCTGCGCTCTCTCCAGCTCCACTGTGACAGCACGCCCTCAGTCAGGACCCCCCATCCTGTGGCGCGTGCTTCCTAGATGGGTCCTGGGCAGGAGCGGGTTCCCAGCCCTACGCTGTACTTAGCACTTGTGAACCTGGTCCTCCGCCTGTGGTGGTGGCCCTGCGGGCAGAGGCCATCTGCCCCGGTCTTCCCTCTCCACACAGCGCGTAGGTGGTGGCTCACGCCAAGGAGGCTCCGTGTTGACTCTGCAGTCTGCAAGTCCCTGCTCTGTGTCCTGAGGTGAGGGGCCCTGGGGACAAGCATTTGCCTTCTGTGTGGCTCGGCTTCTTCATCTGTTCATGGCAGTCATTACAGGCTTAAGTCACATGGGGAAATGGTGAGGAAAATGAATATGGCTTATAATAGGAATCATTTGAATAACTTATGGCATAATCCAGACTTACAGAAAAGCTACAGAGACAGCATAGAGGGTTCCCACAGCCCTCACCCAGTTTCCCCTAATGCTACCCACACTCCAATGTTACCTTAGCCAAAACTGACCAGCTTGTATGGGAATGCCACTCTCAACTAACACTGGACACTTCTAAGCACACGTGTGTGTGCGTGTGTCTGCACGCATGTGTGCATGCCTGTGTGTGTGTGCTTGTGTGTGCCTACGTCATGTGTGCAAGTGTCCTGTGTGCACAGGTGTGTGCATGAGTCTGTGTGTGCATGAGCTCACTGCATCCTGGTAACCCGGGAGGAAGGTACTACTATATTCCCATCAGATTACGAAATGAGACGTTAAGTGACTTGCTAAGTATTCCACAGCTGGTAAGGCCAGGAGTCACCCAGCTGTGGCCAGTCACACCACGGGGGCGCTCTCCGTGGGGAGTCTGAGCACCCAGACGCCTTGACAAACGAACCTGGAGTGTGGTTCCTCACAGCAGCCAACACCCGAGATCATGCCTGGACCTTCCCCAGCAGCCTCCTCCCTGCAAGGACTCAAACCAGAGAACAAGGAGCATACAGCTGCCTGAGGGGCCACGGGAGGAGGGGGACGAGCCACAGAGCCCAGGTGCCGCCTGCCTTGCGGAGACCAGGAAGCCCACGGCCTCGGGTGGAGAGGTGAGGCGGGTAGGCAGTGCGCTTGGAGCCGAGCGAACCCCGGAGGGCCCTCTCCAGGAGGCAGTGGGGCCTGGAAGGCTTCCCAGAGCAAGGGGCTTGAGGGGAGGTGGGTACCCAGCAGGTGGCTAAGAAGGGGGTGGCAGGGAGCCCTCTGAGCATTGCAGTCCTGGGGTGGGAAAGAGCCTGATCCTTTCTGTGGCTGGGAGGCTGGGCAGCCCTCCTGCACCCTGAGGCTGGGCGCAGGGCGTGGCCTCAGAGGTCCACCCCAGGGCAGAACTCAGTGGCTGCCAGGGCCTGGAAGCGCCCATGTCACTTCCTCAGGCAGTTCCGTGGCCCCACCTTGCTGTGAAGAAGGGGGTCTGTGTTCCAGGAAAATAGAATGCTGTGGTGCACCGGGTCGCCTCACCCACCCCAGCAGGGAGCTCGACGCCCGGAACCCGTGCCAGCGTTCAGGCTTGGGAATGGTGTCATCCTCTCGGGGTGTGATCTCGGCGCCACGAAGACAAGAAAGAACACAAGCAAGGTCCCTCTGGGCTGTACTGCGGAGGCAGAGGGAGGCGAGACCAGATACCTCAGTGTCAATGAGGGCGATGGGCCGAGGCCCGGTGGGGAACGAGGAGGCCAGGTGAATTCAGAGGTGGCGTCAGGGTGGTCGGCAGGAGCACCCGAGTGACCGGACCTGGGCAGGAGGATGACTGGGGGCGGGGCACACTCTGGTCTGTGCAGCAGTGGCTGGAGGCACAGGTCATGGGGGCAGAAGGAGCCGGGCAGCAGGCCGGACACAGGGACCAGCGGAGCAAGGAGGCCTGGGGAAGAGGAAGGCACGGGGCAGGGTCAGCCCTGCCGCAGTCTGGCTGGGCACAATCAGGAGCCACTTGTCAAAAGAAACTAACTTTATTTTTAGAACCACACACGCCAAACAAAACAGCCTCTCAGGAAAAACCCTCAGAGCCTCAACTGCCACCACCGGCTTTCCACAAGCCTCTCTCTCCCCCACAAGCTTCTCTCCACCTCCCACAGTTCTCCTGCTCTTGAGGCCGATTGGCTGGGTCACGTGGGCGGAGCCAAAAAAGTCCCCCAATGAGCAGCTCCGTGGTCTGAAAGGGCAGGGAAACAGTCCAATGAGCATCACCGCAGAGGAGCCAATCAGCTAGATGTTGCTGGGGCCGAGGAGCCAATCAGCTAGATGTTGCTGGGGCCGCTGTGAGCCAAGCATCAGCCGGCAGCTGGTTGCTGGCAGCTGGAAGTTTGCTGGGGCCCCTTCGGCTGTGGCTCTCAACATGGCCCCTCCTCTGCAGTGGACAGTGGACTGTGCCTAACCAGACGGCCAGGTAGCAGCAGTCTGTGCAGATGCTCTGGCGATGAGCTGAGGGACAACAGCCAGATGCATTTTAAGTGTTGCCTCTGGAGAGGGAAGAGTAAGGTCCCAAAGGACAGGGACGGTGAGCTTCATGACAAAGCCGTGCAGCGGCGGCTCCACGTGACAGTGTGCGTTCCATGGAGTGATGTGGGAGGCCACACTGGTGGAGGTGCCGCGGCTCCCTCCAGAAGCAGCCCAGGCCCACGAGGGCCGCGCCCCACCACGGGCAGGGCCCCGCCACAGCTCGGCAGCACTCATTCCCCTGCCACGCCTCTCCACCGACACTGGCTCCTGACCTAGGTCCCAGGAGAATCCGGGAGGGCTTTCCAGGGGACACCATGGCTGGCCTCGATCCTGAGACATCCAGGATCACACAGGAAGGCCTTTCAGAAGGAGGTGAGGACGGAGGCCTGTGGACAGGAGAGCTGGGGATAGCCATGGTCCCTCTGCAGCCTGAGAGAGGACACAAGTCACTAGAGGAGGGGGACAGACCCATCGGGCAGCTCGTGAAGCTATCTGCTGAGGGTTTCTCCAGATAAGGTCCTTCTGCAGCAGGGTCCCGTGGGCTCTCAGTCCTCCGCACCCACAGGGGGGACAGGCCGGCAATCCTCTGCATGTTATGAGTTCTCCACTGGATCTCTTTGTTTTTTTAGTTGTAGTTGGACGCATACCTTTATGTTACTTACTTATTTTTATGTGGTGCTGAGGATCCAACCCAGCACCTCGCGTGTGCTAGGCGAGCGCTCTACCACTGAGCCACAGCCCAGCCCCCCCCCCCCCCACCCCCGAATCTTATTCACCTGAAATTTGAGAAACGCTGGTTGAGGAAGAGGATAGTCCTAAATAAGGCAGGACTGTGTAAACGGGAAGGAGGAATGGCCGTCAGACCCAGGGCCCCCAAGCTGCCTGGGCCAACAAGCCGGGTCAAGGGACCTTGTAGGTGGTGGGGACACAGGGCCCTACAGCTCCTGCCACCTTCCTGTCTTTCTTGCCTTGGTAAAAGGCTCCCACGTCACCAGATACGGCGGAAAGTCCTGACTCAAGCTTCAACGTGGGATTGGAAGAAGTCAATTCCACGCTTGGGTCTCAGTTTCCCCAACTGTAAAACAAGGTGGTTGGACTAGGTCACCACCAGAGCCACCTGTAATCTAACCTGCTAAAAACAGCAGCGGGCAATATCCAGAACACGTGAGGAACTCCTGCAAATCAAGAAGAAAAACACAGAAGCCAGATAGAAAAACGGGCCTAAGAATATGAACAGGCGATTTGTGGAAGGAGCCCCCCAGACTGGCAAGCCCTCCGAGAGGCTCTCATTTTCTTAGTGATCAGAGAAATACAAACTACAACAAGAGGTGCCCACTTAGTCCTGTACAGTCAGCAACAGGGGACCTGGGTGATGGTGGTGCACTGGGCTGCAGGAAGCCCGAGTGGCTGAAGGACCCAGGCAGACACAGCAGCTGGAGAGAGCTCTGGCTTCCTAAGTCGCATT